TCTTCTTCCTTCTTGTATAACTTCCCAAGTTTGGTGTGAAGCGTCCGATCGTAGTGTCCATTTTCCTTCGTTCCCTTCTATGTGTTTTGAGTAGAAGGCAAGTGGTATTGTCTACAAGTCAACAAAGGAGAAGTTAAGCAAAGGAAATAAGCAGAGGAGAAATAGAGAGCGTGTGTATACCACGCCACTGCAGAAACCAAGAAGCAGAGGCTTGAAGAAGTGAGGTTCATGCTGATTCGCTATCTGCAAACAAGAAACGAAATTGGAACATTTTAAGTCGTCTGGGTCGTCCACCTGGAAGACTTCCCAGACGACTTATATTAAGTCGTCTGGGTCGTCCACCTGGAAGACTTCCCAGACGACTTAACGGTAAGTCATCTGGGTCGTCCACCTGGAAGACTTTCCAGACGACTTTACCAGACTTCCAGTAGAACATTTGAAAGCTGACCAGACGAATGAGACGAGAACAACATCCAACCTAACTAGACCACAAATCGATTGAAATCCCCAATCTTTGAAACCCTAATTTGAGAATGAAAATATCCACAAATTGCTTGAAATCACAAATCGTAACCGNCAGAAATCGTTGAAAACACAAAACAAAACGGTAAAAGTAAAGGAAAACAACATCCATACTAATAAAAACCCATAAATCCGCAAGAGAAGCCTTCGATTTACCTTGGTCTTGTATCGGATCGAAATCGCCTCGAAATCACCTTTGAGAGAAACGGCGTTAGGGTTTTCTGAATTTCGCGAAAAAATGAGTAAAAAAAAAACACATCTTATATATGTCAGGTCAAAAATACGGTTAGGTTTAAAAGTAATTTGGTAAAATCCAGTTTGGACGACTTATAATTAAGTCGTCTGTTGATACTATAAGACGACTCAGTCTTCTGCATTATTAAATATATTTACCAGACGACTTAAATATAAGTCGTCCAGACCCTAAACCCTAAACCCTAAACTAAATTGACTAAATTAACTAAGTAACCACGTTATAAAATCAAATTATACTTAAATATTGTTTACTATACACAGAAATAAACACACTTAGGTAAATTTTTAATTTTTTAAAAAAACATTTATGCTTTCAAAAATCTAACCCTAAGAAACACATACAATACTACAACATATGTTGGTGAAACCTAAACCAAAGAATATCATGACTCACTACTTTCACTCATCTATGCTGAAAACAACTGAATTTTGTTATATATTAATATATATCTCTTAAGACATATGTTAATTACATAATTCCAATTTTTCATTTATCAAAATATTTATTACACAATTTTTAAATTATTTTTAAGAAAAACTGTCCCAGACGACTTCAAACTAAGTCATCTGGACGACTTAGTTTAAAGTCGTCTGGGCAGACGACTTGCGAGGGCTAAAAACGTAAAAAAAAAAACTCTTTTATTGTTTGTTCACAAGGGGTTGGTTGTAATTTCAACAGCCTTTTAAGTTACTTTTGCATTTGATTCAAGTTTAAGTTTACTTTTGCATTTCAAATCAAGTTTTGAGTCATATTTGGCAATTTTCCCAACTTAAAATGTTGATAAATAGCCATATAATAGAGGCTTTTAACTAAAAATGTTATTAAGGTCCATAATTGTTTTACAACAATTGTATCTATATATTTTAAATTTTCATTTTAAAAATTATTAACTTGTCTAACTTTAATAAAATTTTAAAAATTAACCCCATATCAAGACAAAGATATGTCATGTAATACCAAACGCAGCTTGGTCAATGTTGGGATAAGTCTCGAGGTCACACTCACTGTCAAGACAGTAACGCAGGAATTTTCTGGTGTAGAAAGAGAGCAAACAATATATAAAAAGTATTATTAGTCCTAACTATCATCTTTATTTGACAGCTTCAAAGAAATGAAAGTATTCTAACTCCACATAGAAGGTTATATCCTGCACATGGTCCACATGTTATAGCAAAGATGATCATCATGAATTGACTAAAGAGCAAAAGATAAGCAATCATTTTCTTTGAACCTAGACATGTTTGATCTAAACAGTTTTGTTCATGCGCTTCAATGTGTTATATGACAATAAATTTAAATGCTGTTTTATAATTTTCTCTAATTTTATAAAATAGAGGTACTGTATTGTATTGAAGACCCATCTCTCATTTTATAAAATAGAGGTACTCATTTTATAAAATGGAGGTACTGTATTGTATTGAAGACCCATACACACATGTCAGAATATGAAAGAATTTAAGAAAAAAAAAAAAACATATTCTAATACACATCCTAGATTCTCTCAAGATCAAACCAAAGAGAAAAGGTTAACTTTTTATAATGATTTGCTCTCACATGTTACTACCATCATCAAGCGATGTATATTTTAGACTTCCTAAGCTACTTTATACAATTGGAAAACACAGAAGAATTATGGTAAGTAAAAAGTTCACCATTTAGAACAGCTAGAGACCTGCTCAATGAGGCATGTAATATGCTTAAGACATACTCCGCAACAATTGGCTTCTTCGATTCAACAGGCTTTCCCTCAGCCTCAGACTGAACTTTTTTGAGAAGAAGTTTCTTCTTGGCTGCTTTGTCCTCAGGCCTGTACTTGAGGAGAATCTTGCAGAGAGAAGTCACTGCAATGATACAGATATTGTGTTAAAAGAAACAAAAGGGTAGTTAAGGGCAACAAAAGGGAAGGAGATTGACGAAGCCAAGTTATTTTGAACGGTTTTAGTGAACTTGTTCAGTGCCGGTGGAACCTTAAGCCTCTGCCTCAGAATACGTTTCTGCCTCTGGAGACGGATGGACTTTGGCCATTTGATATATCTCGTGAGATCCTTTTTCGGTGGTAATGTCCTCCAATTCCAAACTTCTGTAGATGACACTTGAAAAGTGGGTTTGTTACTTTCTCTTGAAGCCAAGAAGATGTTACATCTTAGAACTGATGCAGATAAAAGCAAACACATTTTATAGAGAGAGCAGAAGGTAATCACATACCAGTTTCTGTGTGTTTGAGAGCACTCCAGTTTCTGTGTGTTTGAGAGCACACCTATTCTTGAGTCAAGAATCTTGACAATGACCACTATACCTGAAGAGGTTATTAAAAACACTACGATAAGTATTATACACTCTGCAATCTTCTCGCTCTCAAGGTTAACAAATCTTAAACATCATCGATGAATCCTAACCAAGAACAGAGACCGCAGATAGAGCAAGGATGGTGTTGGGGTCTTTGATTTGCAAGAAGGGTCGATTATGTTTTATAGCTTTTGTTGTGTCAAGGATCACAACCCGCCCGTGTACGAACTATTATCAAAATAACAAAACTCATCAAGATTACGCAACATAACCAGCAGTGCTCCAACAGAGAATACACAAATATTCATCATATACATTCCCTACATAACATGAGAAAGCTATATATTAAAAATATTATTATTGTGTGAAAGATACTGAAGTTACGAACAACATGGTTGGTAGACTTTAAAACAATAAAGAAGAGATTTCATATCTTTCCGTTTAGTTCCCATAAAGCTTTCACAGCTTCTTCTTTAGAAGAGAATGTGACATAAGTAACTTCCTTAGCGAGTAGCCTCGGCAGCTATTCTCTTCTCATCGGTTTCTTTGTTTTCAAAACCGTTAGCTTTGGACGAACCATTTATCGCTAACCTACCCGTCATTATCAATCCAAGAGATAAAAGAGTTGTTGGATTTCCTGAAACCAAGAAAGCCATACTCTTTGCTCTTGTTCATACTATCCACCATTCCTTCAACACCAAGCCCAACATCAGCAAATACCACACACCAACCTCATCAAGCTGCTTCTCCTGCAACTGATTCTCCTTCACCATCGCCTCCCAAACCCTCTATTTCCCTTTCATCATCTCCACATACCCCACATTTTTCCTTTCATCATCTTCACATTCTCCTCGAACCCAAACTTCTCAGCAAGAATATTACCCAGATGTTTCCACTTGAAAACATCAGCATTACTGCATTTAAACGCTTCGTTCTTGGCGTAAGGATCAACCTTCGCCCGAATCTGATGCACAATGATCAGATCAGCGTCTGAAGCCGTCATGAAACCTTCCCACGCCTTCTTGCTCCCGGGGAAAACAAATTTGGCCCTGCGTTAGGTACAACCACACGAAGGAGGTTATGAAGCGTAGAGCCAACGCAAGATGATGAATCTGTAAGCGGTAGATTTCTTGATCGGTAAGAAGAAGATGAAGCTACTGAATCGAAACCCTTAGGGTATGACCAATATCGCGACGGCGGAGAAAGAAGAAACCGATTCAACACACGATACAATAAGGAAAAAAAATTACGGCCAATCCAAGCTTGACACGTGTCGTAAAACCCCCATTTCAAAAAAAGTGATGTGGACGACTGTGGGGGCAGATATCTAAACTTTATTATTATAGATTATATAAAGGAAGCTTTTCTTCCCTACTGTTCTACCATGTCACTAATTTATTTCCTCTCGAGTTGACAAGTGTACACCAATTAAACATTGCGTTTTTTTAATTTTTACATGTTATGGGATTTTGTCTTTCTGGCCCAAGATTCTTTCTGTCCAAGCTTGTTAATCTCTTAAGTCCTCACGCCTCTCTCTCTTCACTCTGCGAACTAGGGTTTAGCCTCATCCTAGCCGCCATTGATTTGGCTGTGAATCATTTCTATTTGGCGATTTAGCTTTTCCGGTTGAGATGAAACTCCATCACGCATTGATCATAGCATTTACTACTCCCCCACTATCTGTAATCACTCTCTTCTTATCATCTTAGAGACAGTGAAGAAAAGTGTATTAATAGGTTCGTCTCCATCATTTGATAATCATTCACAAACTTCTCTCACACTACTTAATATGTTTCTAATGACGTTGGTCGGGAGTTCTTTTGAAAATCTCTTGAAAGTTTCCAACATGATCATTGTTGCTAAGCCAGATCATTGACGATAAAGTTCTTGAAATTTTCAATGAAGATAAATGGTAAGTTGTTCCTCACAGCATAATAAATTGCATGACGGTCCTCACTATCAAATAACCTTATCACTTTGGATTTTGTGAATCGCAGTAGTATCAGCCCACTGGTAGAACTCAGTCTAGGAGTGAACCAGAGGTCCCATATCATTCAAAGAGCCCAGGTAAGGAGAAGTTGGATACTGTATATGAAAGCTTAATGAGTTTTAGCTCTGTTTATTTCAAGATTTCATAAGAAGTTCCATTGCAATAACATTATGTAAGGTTGTTTATCTAAGTTGAATTGAAATTCTTAAAAGTGAGAGACAGCCCAGACGATAGTTTTTCAGGCATTGAGAGAAGCTACGTCACTGGAACAATTGTTCGTCATGGTATACAACTCAGTCTCCTTCTGTTATTTTCATTGTATGGACTTGAAAATGTGAAAAAGTTCCTGGAATTTCACTGACAGATATCTCAAACCAATAGTGTTAAATCGCTTGCATTGAACCACCTGTTTCATCAGCTAATGAGAACAAATCTGATGATGGATCCTTACCAATTTTTGACAAAATTCAGCATGACCCTATTGATTAGGAGAGACTCGCATCTAAGAGAAGAAATACAGTTCCGAATAGGCAGTCATCCATAGCTATATGAGATCAAACGATGAGAACAAGAGCCCATCACTAGCTCCTCCTTCTGGGTTAGGAAACAAAGCGAAGTTGACTAAAGAGATATAACAAGAAGCTGCAAATTGGTTCATAATGTTTATTGAAAAGTCTCCGGAGAAGGGGATGAAGAAGTGTAGAGGCACGGTGATGCAGATGTTAACAAAGATCCAGTCTTTGATTTTTCAAGTTATAAACTAGGTGGAATCAGCTGATAGCACGAGATGACAGGTACATCCAAAAGAATCATAAGTCTTTAGAAAACTCAGAATCAAAATGAAGAATTTAAACATGATTCTTTTATATTGTTCCCACTTCTACTCCGAAGGCTTCTTAGTTTCCACTTCTTATAAATAAATTTATTCATGGAAGCTATTGTTGGAATCTATTGTTGTTGATCAAATTTATATTAAAGTTGCGCTCTCAAACATCACAGATAAAAGATGGTCATATCAGTACGAAGAAGAAGAAGAAAAAGACAAATAACAAATGTTTTACAAACTACGTATGTAGCTTCAAGTAAATGTAATGAAGTTAAGTGCTAATCCTTTATCAACCATAGTCGAGAAAAAAATATAAGTCCCTTGATAGCAGTAAAAACAAGCTTGATTTGCAAGTAATTGAATTTTGTTTTGTTTCACTGATCCCAAACTTGCAAAAGAAAATAAAAAAGATGAATCTAATGGGTGTATTGTAAATTTGTATAAATACATACATAATTCCAATACAGGATAACTATAATAAAATAAGGAGTGAGTCTGACATAACTTTTTCATTTTAAGTCACAAAACGTGAGCTTTGAAAATTAATTATGAAAATGATTAAAACCACAACCAATGATTAAGACATAATCAGAAAACTGTAACAAAAATTAAACTACCAAAATATAACATAATTTCAAAAATAAATATGAAAAAAACATAAGAACAACAAATAGAAGAGTTCATTTATGATATTGCCTCTATGTTGTATCAAACCAAGTTGAAAGAAAATCAAAAGGAAAAATTTTGTATCTCAGGGATTTTTCCTCTTTTCCAGGCATATACTCAAGTTAAAGATATTAACAAGAAATTATTAAAATAAAAAACAAGAGTTAATAATTAATTAAAATTAAGATTCAAAATTAGTTGGAAAATAATAAAATTAATAATATTGCATGAATATCAAAACAACTAAGAAATTGTGAAAGAAAAATGATAAAATGCAAATCTAAGCTACTATATTCAATCAAATATTTTGGATACACCCAGTTTTAGTATTCAAATAATAAAGAGATACAATGTAATAAATAAAAACACATATAATGTTCACATCTTTTAAAAAGACGCATTATAAATCACATGAAGAAAAAAACAGTACAAGACTAATCAAATGAAATTATTTAAACAGAATATACATTACTCATGTTCCAATTTCTCTGTTGAGAAAATTAGTCAATCATATAAGATAGTGAGGTCCTACTTTTGTTAATCAAATGTACACAATACTAATAAATTACACCAATTAAATTGAGACAATATAAAAACATGTGTTTGGTAGAAAACATTAAACAAACCACATTTAATATAAAACAATTGGCAAGCGGTAAATTAAAAGAAACAGAATATTGTACGCGAAGCAAGTATATTTATGCAAAATAACTTAACAACAAGGACAACAATAATAGCAGAAATCAAACTAGATAATCTAAATAAAATAAACACTAGATTTTGATCCGCACTTTAAAAGCGCGGATATAATTTTACTATTTTGATCAAATTTGATTGATTTTATAAATTTTATTAAAATAAATACTTTTAAGTTTATTATATTAGTGTTTCCAATTTATTCTATTATATTTAATTTCCAGGAAATTTTTTTCATATCCGACTCAGATTGTAGTTGAGCCGATAGATCCGGAGACATGTGTTTAATCCGGTTCAGATTTAATAAAAAGTTTTTTAGTTAAAAATTAGATAAAATCTTGAAAAATCCAAAACCCGCTATCAACCCATGATCTGATATCAGATGATTCACTGAAAACAAAAAAAAATATTTTTTTATTAAATAACTCATACATTTTGATATTATATAAGTCTAAAATTTGTAATATCTTATACTTTGACGAATTTTTTATTAAGTCATTTGAAAAGGTGAAATAATGGTAATAAAAAGGTAAAATTTATTGATATGACAATATTAGTTTCTTTTTCATTTTAATAACTTATGAAATATATTTTTGTTTATTTCAGATGTAAAATTTAATTTTATAATAAATTTTATAATATTTTTAAAAATTCAAAATGTAAAAATGACATGGTAAATAATATTTTTAATTTTCCTATATATATATATATATATTCAAATTTTATTATTAAATAATACTAAGCAAGAAAAATAATATTCAAATTACATGAAAGGTATTATTTACATAAAGTTAGAATTAATATTATTTACAAATTATGGATAGTATTAGTTACCAAAAATTTAGGAAAAAATCTGTTTTTTTAGTTTAAATAAATAATATAGATATTAAAATTAAATGTGAGTAGCGTAGTAATGTAAATAACTTGAAAAAGTAAGGACATAATCCTAGTTGGGATTTTACTTTAATAGTATAGATGTCAAAATAGCCACACTGCAAAATTAAAAACAACTAATTAATTTTAGCATTATATTGTGAAATTTAGATAACCGCAACAAAATCAAAGTTGAAAATTATAACATCAAAAAAATTTAACCGTAAAAATTGATAAACATAATATGGAAAAAAATAACGATTTAAAAATTAAATATATAATAAAATATTTAATAATAAACATAGTTTTAAAAAAAATATCTAATGTTCATAGTGTTTTGTCTATGTGTCTTATTGGTATAACTAAACTAAAATTCACATTGAAAGAAATTAAACAGTTATAGCTTTTTACATTTATTATAGTTAGACAAGTTAATAACTTCTAAAATGAATATATATTTTCAAAATGTGTTTTAAAATACATAGATAAGGTTATTGTAAACAATCATGAATTTTAATGGTATTTTTAGTTAAAATTAAAACAAAATTTTAAAATAAATTTATATTATAATTTAATTTATTCTCCCGCCCGTAGGGCGGGTTTACCCTAGTATCCTATATAAGAACATTGCAAAAAGTCCCAGATCATTAAAATCCTTACACATATTTTTGTAACTGATCCCAGAAATGCAAATGTTTGGACTTCACCATTTTGAATTTATGAATTAATACTGATGAAAAAAAAAAGAATTAATACTGACCGCAACGGTGTCGTTTGAGTATAAGTAGAGAAGACGGCAAACGGGAACGTGTTTATGTAAACCGTAAAACGCTTTCCTCCGACGGTGACGAAACCAAAGGAAAAAAAAAGCTACTCAATCCATCATTCTCTCTTCGAACGCATCCTCGCAAGAATTTCGCATCCGACGACGTTTCGCTTGTCTGACTTTATCTCCGGGCATAATCCTCTCGATTCGAATCCGGGGAAAACTGAATCTCGTCCCCGGAGATGGCGGGGATCCTGAATAAATTGCGGAATCTGGATGCGTATCCAAAGATCAATGAGGATTTTTACAGCCGTACGTTATCCGGCGGCGTTATCACCCTCGTCTCCTCCGTTGTTATGTTCCTTCTCTTCTTCTCCGAGCTACGTACGTGAGATCTGAACTCTCGAGTATTTCTAGCTAGCTGAGTTTCCGTTTTGAGTTTTTGTTCGTTTGTTTGTTTAGGATTATATCTTCATAGCGTTACCGAGACGAAGCTCGTTGTGGATACTTCAAGAGGGGAGACGTTACGCATCAATGTAATCTTGTTTTTCCTTTAGGGATGTATTTCTTTCTTTCTTTCAAATATATCTCTCAAGTCTCAAATGTATTCTTTGATATTGCAGTTTGATATGACTTTTCCTGCTCTAGCATGTTCCATTCTAAGTGTTGATGCTATGGATATCAGTGGAGAGCTTCATCTTGACGTGGTATGTGACATTGTATTGTATATGCTTGTCAATTTTGTGGCTAATCTGTTTTTTTGTTCCCTGTGGATAAACAGAAACATGATATCGTTAAGAGAAGACTAGATTCTCATGGGAACACTATAGACGCAAGACAGGACGGTATAGGCGCTACTAAGGTTTGCTTCCTCTATTTTCCTTTAGTGTAATTTGAATAATGCTCTTGTCGTTATGTTCTCTGAGATTTTTTAGTCATCACACTGGGATAAAAGCATTAACTGAAAGCAGCTTTTGTTGGAATTTGTAAAGTCTCTTACTTTTTGTGATTGTGCAGATTGAGAAACCACTGCAGAAACATGGTGGTAGGCTGGAACATAATGAGACTTACTGTGGTTCTTGCTATGGTGCTGAAGCGGTAATTTTGCTTTCGTTTTCTGTCTTTTTCTGCGTATTGCATTTGGAGCATGGCTTCTCATGTTCGTATTTTGTTTACCCTTGTTGTTTAGTGCTAGTCAGGAGATCATAGTGGATCAGACAAAAAGAGATGTTATAGTAGCTTTCCTCTATCTTTGAGCTTTCATGTGATCATATGTTTTTAACCCTTGTAGGAAGAGCATGACTGCTGCAATTCATGTGAGGATGTTCGTGAAGCGTATAGAAAAAAAGGGTGGGGTGTTACAAATCCAGATTTGATTGATCAGGTGAATTACTGAAAGATATGCTGCTCACCTTTTAAATTATTGACATCTGTGTGTTTTCATTTCGTATTTGCTTGTTTTTTTTTCTTCTTCATCTTTCTCTATGTTGCCTCAGTTGTGCGGTTTGTTTATTTGGTATGCTGTGGGGCTCTCTAAGCTGGACATATGCTTCCAAGAATTTCTTGTTTCTAGTTGTGAGATTATATCTGTTTCGCTTGTCTCGTTGTGATCAGTGTAAACGAGAAGGTTTCTTACAAAGAGTAAAGGATGAAGAAGGTGAAGGGTGTAATATCTATGGGTTCTTGGAGGTGAATAAAGTGGCGGGAAACTTCCACTTTGCTCCCGGGAAAAGCTTTCATCAGGCGGGCGTTCACGTTCATGATCTTCTTGCTTTTCATAAAGACAGTTTTAACGTAAGACAGCACTTGTCCTATTGGTTTCACTTCGTTTATATAATTCAATCGTTGCGTCCTAATCTATTCAAACTCCGTTTCAGATAAGTCACAAGATCAATCGACTGACTTTTGGGGACTACTTTCCTGGTGTCGTGAACCCTCTTGACAAGTAATGACAATTCTGGTCTAGTTCTGTCAAACTCGGTTTATATTTTCATGTTTTCTAACCTACTTGACGTTTGCAGAGTCCAGTGGAGTCAAGACACACCCAATGCTATGTACCAATATTTTATCAAGGTTTGTTCTGCGACAAACAGTAACATCATAGTTGAAGTATGTCGTTAAAAGGACCATGTTTACTCTTTAATGCTTTGTCTGCTTTCTAAAGGTTGTACCAACAGTATACACAGATATCAGTGGACACAGAATTCAATCAAATCAGGTAAGCGCGACTCTTAATTGTTCAATTATAATCTATTTATTCTCATCCTTTTTATAATTGAAAATTTAAAGTAAAATGGCACAGTTCTCAGTGACCGAACATGTTAAGAGCTCAGAAGCAGGTCAGCTGCAATCCTTACCAGGAGTTTTCTTCTTCTATGATCTCTCTCCAATCAAGGTTAGTGTGTGTTTTAATTCTAGTTCTATAGAGAAAAGAGTAATATGTAGAATCCTAATCTAAATTTGTTGATTGTCCAGGTAACATTTACAGAGGAACATATATCGTTCTTGCACTTCTTGACAAATGTTTGTGCCATAGTCGGAGGTGATGTCTCTATCTATATACCCCCCTATAACAACTTTCTTTTGTTGCATGCCTTGGTTGTACTGCATTAAAATCCCTAAAAAATGGCAGGTGTTTTCACGGTGTCTGGGATAATAGATGCGTTTATATATCATGGTCAAAAGGCAATCAAGAAGAAGATGGAAATTGGTAAATTTGGCTGATCCTTCTTATCATGTGGTTTTACTTGTGTTCAAGTGGGGTTGTCTCTCGTACTCGTTTTTGCGACATCAATATATTCATTTAAGGCTTAATGAAATTTGAACAATTTAAATATTCACTCTATTGTACTCAAATCAAAGCCAGACCTTTTATTGCAATTTGACCTTTTATTCTCTACTTGGTTTCAGTTTAACTTCAGGGTTGTGGATTTGCATTTCTAAACCAAAAGAAATAATATTCTCTCCGCCAATTTGTTTGTTGGTAAAAAAAAAAATAGATGCCACCGCGGAAGAGGGTTTAACAAAAAGATGCCATTAATCACTGGACTGTGTAAATTGTTAGCCTCTAAGTAGAAAATACTTGAATTAAACTGACGTAAGTTCAAACGAAGCATGAAACTCTTTTATAGGGAAGGTAATTCTTGAAGAATCATCGTTTTATTGACTCACAAGTGAAAGATCCAGAGAAAATATGTAGTCTAGCTAGTGTATCACAAGTGATTCGGTTTCTATAATGCATTTACCAAAATCCTGAAATGAGAATGGGCAATAGAGATGAAATCACTTTCTTCTTCCTCTTTTCATTACCAAATAAGTAGAAGCTATCTTACTATGTACATTGTTGTGAAGAAGTTAAGAAGCAAAGGGCATGTGACGAATGATGTCTAAATATAAAACTATATTTACAACAAAGAAAAAGGTCGACAGCAACAAAGCCTCGTTGTGTGTCCAAGGTCTGGTCATCAATCACTACAAAACCATATTTCATCAACTTCTTTGAATCTCAGTCGTCAACACGGGCACTGATTTCTGTTTCAACTAACGACTAATGCTATTCGTATTAAAAACCAGAAAATAAATTCAAGTTAAAACAAGAACAAAACAGGACCAAGATGGGCTCCTGATAAAGCCTCAGGACCAGATGGTTTGAAGAGTCTATTCTACCAAAATGTCTTGGAAGTCACAGCAAGGGATGTAACATGTCTAAATCCCAAAGACGGAAATGTCCTTGGAGATGATGAAGTTCTGCCCTATCAGTTTATGCAATGTCAATTACAAAATCATCTTTAAGATCATCTGCTCATGTTTGAAGAAGGTCATCCTGAAACTAATCTCAGAAACCTAATCCATTTTTGTGGCGAGACGTCTCATCTCGTACAACATACTGTTCACACAGGAAGCCTTCCACGCTTTGGGTACAAATCCTATGTGAAAGGCCAACTTCATGGCCGTTAAAACGGGAATGAGCAAAGCATACGACCGTGTGGAATGGAACTTCCTAGAAGCTCTTCTCCTAAAATTAGGCTTCGCCGAGAAATGGGTTTCATGGATATTATGGTGTATATCCTCGGTATCTTATCAAATTCTCCTTAACAGAGAACCCAAAGGAAACATTAAACCCAAGTTCATGGTCGTTAAAACGGACATGAGTAAATCATACGACCGTGAGGAATAGAACTTCCTGGAAACTCTGCTCCTAAAATTAGGCTTCGCCGAGAAATGAGTTTCATGGATATTATGGTGTGTATCCTCGGTATCTTCTCAAATTCTCCTTAACGGTGAACCCAAAGGAAACATCAAACCTTCTAGAGGCCTTAGGCAAGGAGATCCACTTTCACCATTCCTTTTCATCCTACTAACAGAAGCTCTTATCTTGCAACTGCGAGGTGCTGAAGAAGAAGGTAGGATCACAGGTTTAAAGATTGCTAGAGCTAGCCCAGCAATATCACATCTTCTATTTGTTGATGATAGCCTTTTCTTTTGTAAAGCGGATGTCCAGCAATGTGCTGAGTTAATACAAATTATCAATATAATTATCAATATGTATGGAAAGACATCAGGCCAGAAACTTAATCCATCAAAATCCTCTGTCTTGTTTGAAAGCAAGGTAGGACACGACGCAAAAGGAACATTGAAATTGACAAAAATTAGGTATCAGCAAGGAGAAAGGGGTGGGTATTAAATTTACCTCGGACTTCCGGAAAAATATGTGGCTCCAAGAGACAAGTGTTTGCCTTTATCAAGGACCGCCTTAACGATTGCATTAACTCGTGGCCAGCTAAGCTTCTCTCCAAAGGAGGCAAGGAAGTACTCTTCAAGTCAGTAGTACAAGCTCTGCCTACCTATGTGATGTCATGCTCCCTACTGCTGCAAGATATCATAAACAAGCTACATGGAGAAATCGCAAAGTTATGGTGTAGTAAATCAAATAACCGCGGACTTCACTGGATTGCTTGGAAAAAATATGTGTATCTTTTGAGAAAGGGGCCTAGGCTTCAGAGACCTTCAAAATTTTAATCTGACCTTACTTTCCAAGCAGATCTGTAGGTTACTCCACCACCCCACGTCACTGCTAGCTCGGGTTCTTAAAGGTAGATACAATCGACACACCAGGCCTATGGATGTTAAAAATTCAAACTCTCCATCATATGGGTGGAAGAGTATTTTGGCAGTTCAGTGACTCCTCCGGGAAGGTCTGAGAAAAACTATTAGTTCGGGATATGACACGCGGGTGTGGACAGATCCATGGATACCTGCGATTCCAGCAAGACCAGCACTTGACAATGGAGTATCTCAAGATCAATATTTGTTCGTGAACCAGGTTATAGATCAAGATACAAAGCAATGGAAATTTGATCTCCTGAATTACTTGATAGATCATGGAGATATCCCGTTGATACAGAGCATCAGACCCAGTCATATCTTTAAAGATGATGGATACAACTCAAACCATACAAAATCAGGTCTGTATACCATCAAATTGGGCTACAAACTAGCAGTCCAACTTAAGGAAGAAAATATGGATACTGAAGTTCTAGAACCGAGCATGAATGGCCTTAAAGCGATTTGGAAACTAAAAGCGCCTAGAATTATCAAGCACTTTCTCTAGCAACCTCTTGCTGGTTGTTTGTGACTTGTGGACGTTTGGTAGATCGGCACTGCGGAACAGATCGAACTTGCCCCAGATGCGGAGATAATGTAGAATCTATTAACCATACGATTTTCCTTTGTTCTCCAGCATTACATATCTGAGCATTTTCATATATACCAACAACTCTCGGGATCTTCCCGAGCGAATCTCTGCTTGAAAATTTTGATTGTTTACTCCTTCGAGAAAAAATGAATAGTGTTCCAGAAAATATAATTGCTCGGTTTCCATGGATCTCGTGGTTCATATGAAAAGAAAGGAATGAAAAGCTCTTCAATGGAAAGCAAATTCTTCCCCCAGATACCATGCAACATGCCACCCGAGAAGAACTGGCGGGTAGCAGAAGTGATCTCGAAAAAGGTTGCACACAGGGGTCTCCAGACCCCAAAACAAGGAAATCTGGCGAGTGTATCACCACTACCAAGATTCCATGTGGATGCATCTTGGGTGATAAACTCAAAGGTTTATGGGGGAGGCTTTGTTTTTGACTTGTCACCAGGAACCCACTTGTATGGTTCCATTGGGATGGAACAGTCCTAACCCCTATGCATGTGGAGTTTAATATCTTGCTTTGTGCAATGAGAAGCTCCTTACAGCTAGGATATACATTGATGTCCTTTGAATCGGACTGTCTACAGCTGGTAAAGCTGATTAACGATGAAAAAGATTGGCCTTGTTTGGTTTTGGAATGGAATGAATTCATCCATTTACTTCCCTCTTTTACTACTATCGATTTTTCTTATATAGCTAGAGAGCGCAATGTAAGAGCTAATCTTCTTGAAAAATTATGCTGGAGCTCAAAACTCTATATTCTCCCATGTAAACTCTTTGATTCCAGCGAGGTTAGCTTCAAAAGCTAACTTTTTCACTTGAATTAATAAAATCATCGTGTTTGTTATAGAAAAAAAAAACAGGACCAAGATGAGAAAACGAACCTAATACAAGAAATAATATAGCTAAAAATAGACAAAATGAAAAGCATGGATTGAGGGGGGAATGTAATAGAATAGACTCTCTAGCACTACTAAGAGTGATTGTTAAAGTGGTTAACCACAATTCTGAGACCAACGATCACTAATAATAAAGATTACTCCAGTCTCATGTAAATAAGATTTCTAAAGCAAAATCAGGTTTTTATTCCACCCCTTTGTGGCACTGACCAAGCTCCTAGGCTTTGAAGGTTAGTATCATGTTGTTTCTGGTTCTTCGGCTGAAGAAAAATATTGTGCGATGGCTAATACTTTACGTGAAGTTAAGTGGCTTCAACAAATCATGATTTTCTTTTTGACTATTATGAGATCGTTCTATTCAGTTCTATTGTGATATCCAACTTGTCTTAAACATAGCTGCTAATCCGCTAATTTGCGAATTCGATATTTTGCAAACGAATAAACCATACTAAGATTCATTTTCATTTTTTTAACTATAGGTAACAGTTACATCATCATATAATTCATAATTGAATTGAGAACTACCAAATATCATTAAGATAGCAAACAGGTTATCCCGTTCCGTCCCAAAGCGCAGTGTGATTGGCTTCAAGCGGGTCACAGAGGGTCAGTCCCGTGCGGGCCACGGTCTCCGGAAAGGCTGACCAAACCCTCCTGCAATATACATAGGCCTTTGCGGGATGATCCGTGGGACGACATCTAGTTGTTTTGTGTTCTAACTTTCAAGAGATCACACCCTGCACACACCAAATGGTAAAGTCAGACATCAAAAGGAAGTCAACTTATTATACTTAACATTAATGAAGAAGTAACGAGACCTTAACATGCTGATCTACAAACAATCTTAACAATTAATATCAATGTACAAGAAAAATATACTGTAATATTAGTGGTGGTTCTTCCTTTTTTGTTGCATAATATCGCTTAACATATGAAGAAATGTGTTGTAGTTGTAAGAATTTCTTAACCTAATATGATATTAAGAATAAACCAAAACAAAGTCATGAATCTTAAATGTAAATTAAAACACAAACCAAACAATCAATCCCAAAGAAAACTAAACATCAGACTAACATGAAATATGAAGAGTTTTGTACCTGTTCAATGAAGGTGAAGAGACCATCAAACCGCGGTCATCGGAGCTCCATAGGTTGTCGGTAAAGATCTAATGCTGAATCGCCATCTTGCTTTCACTTTCGTTTTTTCTCAGGTGGAAACACAAATGAAGCTTTAGCTTTTGCGTGTCTTCACTATCCCGCTAGTCCACTTGTGACCAATCCCACCCAATAACTATCCG